GTGAGAGAATCAAAAAATGTAGTTTTAAGACAAGAACGATTTTTTTAGGAGGCAATATTTTATTGAGAAACCGTTCACAAAAACCAATTCAGCCTTGTGTCTAAATTAAAACAAAGCAAGGCGGTAGACGGATAGATTGTAGATTCGACATCCGTCCCGATTCCGGATCGATGGCGATTTATTGCGGAGTACCACGATAGAGAAAACCAGCTCAATAGGAATCCGCCAATTCAAGATAACATTATCACGTTCCTAGACAGTTGGATCCGCTTATTGTCGTTGTTAAACTTCACTAAAGTTTAGACTCCAGGCACCGGGGCGGACAATTTATATTGTTCAATTTGCCGCAAACATCTCCATCATCGCCGGCAGTATAACGAATCATCACGCATCTTTCACATAAGGTTAATAATCGCACTACCATATCAATCGTTCATTATAAAACGATGAACTCTACTAATCCCAGTTACAAAGTCAAGGATCCTTGTTAAGGAAATTCGACGGCCTGGAAGTAAAAGCGTTAAAATTCATCGTCGTTGACCACGGAGAAATGGTTATGGTTTTTGGTTCAGACTGCCTATCATGAACGAATAAACGAAGGATAATTATACCGAAATAACAATGAGATGTTAATAAACTCGGCATGCTCGCTGTACCTTTTCAATTGCCAGATACGGTCACACCAATGATTTTTAAGAAAATTAGAGAAAAATATAGTTTAAATATTCACAATTGTATCAAATTTGTCAAGTATGACCTGAAAAAATTAATTTTTCAGGTATTTTATTTATAGTTGTGTTTATACGTGAAAGACATTTAGGGTTTCCCATCTGCTAAATATGCTAAAGGTCAGAAAGGTTAAAAGTTCCTTGTTAGAAAATTGTTAAATTTGGTCCTGCTTTGACCACATTTTTGTTCTTTCATTTCCATACCTATCTTGTTTCTTCTTTTATTAATTTTTTTGAGTGAATACATTCGTAAAAACAACTCGCACATCTTTACACATTCATGGACAAAGGGAGGCGTTCGATAGTGCCAACAAAATCCTGAGAAAAAAGAAATAAAACCTAAAAAATAAAGAAGAGGCCGTCAAATTTTGAAGATAGTAAAAATAAATGATATGGCTATAAATGTGAGAACAAAATGAGAGGAGACTCAACTAAGTGTCTATAGAAAGCAGAATAGCCTTTAGAATAAAGGCAGCCACAAGTTTCTAAAGGGGTAATTCTAAGAAAAACTGATGGATCAAAGAACAGCGGCCGAATTTCACCCTAAACCCTACAAGGGGTTTGTACCAGTTCCGACTAAATTCCAAACTGAACTCCATGCAACCCAACTTTCCTCCCAGGAGTTGAAAAAAAAAAATGAAGGGTGCGTGGATCTACATACTTTTACGCAGTCTGTCATACAAGTACTATAGAAGTATGCTTTTAACCCCAAACTAGCCTAGGAGCGCATAAATTGCCTAGGGGGTGGCAACTGTTTTTCGGACAGTGTTTTCGTATATTTTCTTTTATGGACTTAAATTTATATATGGTTTTCTTTTTCAGGAGGAGTACTCTCCTCTCCGTACGAGCACTACATTTTAAAACTGTACTGCTACCAATTTTTATGGTCATTTTGTTGTTCAAAGGGACACCAAAATGTTGCCATTTTTCGTTATTATTTCCTCAAACTCTATTTAGTCTATTCTAGTCACCCATATTTTTCCTTTTGTTTTTCTTTGTATACTAAAAATCCGTAGATACGGTTTCTTTAAAATAGGGTATTGTTAATTTTTGTCAAGGACCTAAGTTGAGCTTAGGGCAGCTTTTTTGTATAAAAAATATATTTTTCCTTTTAAATTTTTAAAATAATTGCTAATTGAAATTGTTTGCCCATCATCGCCCTACAAAATGAAAACACTAGTGGTTTCAATTTGTCGAAAAGCTCTCGAGAAAAGTACGCCAAAAGGCGAACAAACATAATTTTCTAGGATACGCCATTTTAGAGATAGAATTTTTCCAGTTGCCGACCAATTTATGCCACAAAAACATTACACACCGATAGACGATGTTTTAGTTGGTTAGGTAGTTTCTTGAAACAAAATATACTTAAAAAGACGAGAGACTTCAAACAGTGGATGGCGAGTTGCAAGTTCATCAAGGCAAAATGGACTCAAAAAAGTTGATTCGCAACTTGCACAAAATTATTTGAAGCACATTCACTGTTCGTAATCTCATGACCAATTTTATTCTATGCAAAACGGTTTGGTTTAAAACAAAAAAATACAAAAAGCACTTTTTGGTTTGAAAACAGTCGCTACGGGGGTAGCGGATAAATAAACTTTTCAAAAAAATCTACAAAATAAAAAAAATTTACAATGTCGTCTCAGAATTATCTAGGGTGATAAAATAAGTAATATATATTTAAAAAAACAATTAAGTTATAATAATCAGAAAAGTCATGCAATAAGTTTCGTTTATGGGGTATATTTTGGTTTTAAGTGGAAGTTTGTGATGCTTGAATGGCTGTTTCTTACTTATTTCTTAGCATTAATATTATTATTAAACAAAGAGAAATACTTAGTAAACAGCCTTATTTCTGAAATATCCAAAATATTTAACTTTTTATTTAAATATTATCCGAACGTCCTTTTGAATTTTCATGTTGCTCCGAGTATCTACCAGATTATTACTATTATTATTTTTTAAGGGGGTTCGCAACAGTAGTGTCGTACGAACTACGAAGGGAGCAGGTGTTTTTGAAAAAAAAAAAAAAAATGATTTGGGTTCAAATTCTGGGCAGATGAGATTCGAACCTATGACACTTAAGGTCTGACAGTGACGTGCAGTGACATCACAGTGTCGTGACGTGCGGCTCTTATTCTCGGCCACGTGATCCCACTCTCTATGCAAATTGGACAGTATTTAATTGCGCTTGCAGTGAATTTGAGAGGACAAAATGGTTGTTTTTAGGTGATGACTTTTTGATTAACGCACTGATTTTGATAAAGAAGAGGAACCGCAAGCGGGAAAACAGAAGTGGGTCCATCATACAGAACAAGAGAGGGACAGAAGAATTCGCTACGCTTTACAAAGATGGAGGAAAATTTTGCTTGTGAATAACTTAAGACTTTAACTTCTTAATACATTAAGAAATACGACTATGCGGATGTATAATTACGTTACTTCCATATTGGTTTCAAAGAGTGAATGTCGAACACTACAAAATGTACTTTTACAGGAGGGAACGGAATAACAGATGCATTTCCGAGAAATATTCACTGATTACTACAATGAAATTAATTAAGGTTTTTAGTTGAGATGAAAAAAGTTAATGGCACGAGAGGGATTCGAACCCACGACCTTCAGCTAGATACGCCGCTCGAATCCCTCTCGTGCCATTAACTTTTTTTCATCTCAACTAAAAACCTTAATTAATTTCATGTATTAATTGGTCAAGCGGACCACGAAATTAGTGAATTAATTATTACTACAATTCTAATGCTGGATCTCTCCCGTGGTTATCAAATACTCATTTTTCCTATTTTCCTCCAGAGAGTATTCATAAAATCTGAATCCATGTACATATTTTCAATTTGCCTGATCAAACAGCACAGGATCATTTCTCACCAACTCAATGACCAGACTCATGAATTTCATCATTCAAGTTGTACGTCCGTGAAAATTGTGAAATATCGTCAACAAGAAATACGTCGATCACGGCCCGGTGACAACGGCAGCACTGACGGCACGGCGACGGTCGCGCGCCGGACAAGTGTGAACAAAATGCCGGTCACGGCACTGTCACGTCACTGATGTGGGTGAATCGACCTTTACAGAGATGAGCAGGTTATACGTGCTCCCAAAATATTAGTTTAAGCCTTTCATCAACTATTTGAGAATTTTATATAAAAATAACAGAATTAAACAATATTTAGAATATTTACCTCCAAATAGCCGACAGGCCCGTTGAAGGGATAATCTCCCAATCTTCTTTCCTCATCCAAGAACTTGCCGGCTTTTCCATTGACAGGCGGTGAAAACAAACCATAGTTGAAGCTCTCTTTTAATTCCTGAAAGAAAAAAAGAAAAAATTATTAATATTTAGACGGTCGACATTGCCCAAAAAATGTAACACGTGACAAGAAACAATGCACATTTTTAGTAAAACATGCTAGTCAGAAAACGTATTTTTTATTTTTTTAATGTAATGCAGTGACCTCATAGAATGTATATATAGGTGAAACTCTTTGACTCAACTTTGTTCAAAGAAGGGTCAAATGAATCTAATAACAAGTTGCTAACTAATTACTTACTCAGGGAGGGCAGGGCATGGTAAGCCCGGTTCGGGATCGCAGTACGTATTAAAACTTTCCATTTGTTTTCAAGCCTGTTAAAGCAGTTGCTTCAACGATACCCGGGCCCTAGAGACAATGTACTTTTCCCTTGGAATAAAAGCAATTTTAAATACCCAACTATAATTAATAGGTAATTAAAATTGAGGGCATCGACATTTTACTGCCCGTCAAGGAAATAAAATTGGGAAAGTTGGGAATAAATTATTCTTAGGGAACTAACTTCATTTACGACCTTTGGGCCCTTGGAAGTTTAACTAAGTACGAGAAGTTGGACCGGCGTTTGTCAATATGTGTCAATTATAAAATCGGTTTTCTTTTCACTCCAATAAGTTTTCTTCGAGACCTGACCTTTTTCAATTCTAACTTCAATTTATTCAAGAAATAACAACCCACGTGTACGTTTTATATCATTTAGGCACCCCAACACAATAAAGCGTAGTTAAATTTCTTGCGTGTAACCTCTCATAATTAGGGTCCACTGATTCTCATTTTTCTTTGGTCAGACAAGTAGGCATTATTTTATGCAAATAATAAAATTTACCAAACAGAAAAATAAAACTAATAAAACTCGTCAAACATCCCGAGTATACATGCATTTTTAAGATAAAAAATATTTAAATAACAGATTTAATAAACAATTTTTTTTTAAGCATAAGAAAATATATTTATAGTTTTTTATTATTTTAATTTAGAAACCAATAATTATTTATTAAAGGAAATTCATTCCCAAATTAATTATATTGTTAATTTATTAAAAAAACCTTTACAAGAAATGTCTTTCTTAAGTTTCCGCGATTAAAATTAGTTGACACCTAATCCTTCGAAGGGACTATTAAAAATCAAGTAGTATCACAACCATTATCGATAGAGCAAGAATATCGATTAGAAAATTGATATTGAATAAATAGCTGAAATATAAAATATATATAATCATCTTCTGAGTAAGGTTAGACTGGAAGGGGGCCGCGGTAGCCGATTGGTTAAGACGTCAGACTCTCGGCTAGTTGGTCCTGCGGTCGTGGGTTCGATCCCCACCGTCGCCTCTGGTCTTTTTTCTGACGCCTAAGGGGACCGGTGGCCGCAATTGAAAGAAATTGACACGGCACACATCAATGGAAGGGGCGGGATCGGATCTCAGTGACCCTGAATTTGTGCCAAACTCCCTTCAAAAATGAGTTTCTTCGATGGGAGAACACCGGTACAACGGGGGCTCAAGTTCACATTTGTGTTGCGAGCCCTCCCCCAAAATATGGAGCCAGGGATAAAGTACAATAAGCTGTACAGCTCAGCTGCAGTGCTCAGGAGGGAACTCCTCCAGTTCCTGGTATTCAAATAATAATAATAAAAATTTAAAAAAAAAGTTAGACTGATTTAGTTCATATAGGGTTCCAATCTTCGTAGAGGTCATTAGACAGGTGAAAAAAGAAGAACTAAATGCTGGGTTCACCAAAATTTCGGTACCTTATAGTGCCAGGGGTTATTTTATTACAAATTCAAATAAATACACAGTAACATAAATTAACAATTAATGTAATAAAATGATATACATACTTTCCCAAGGATGAAGAAAACGATTAACATGGAAAACTATTGTAGAAGCGTTTTGAGTTTAAGGTTATGGAGCACATGGCCAGCATAATACATTTTTAAAATTATAAGTAATTATTAAAATACCATATTTATATTTGACAATGAAAACAATAATTCATAATAAAGTAAAACCTCGCTAAAAATCCATATGACTAAAGGTTCAACTATTTTTTTGTTCTGACTGGCAATTTCTTACAGGTACATTTGTGATCACATAGAATATACGCTTGTACAATAGTTTTCTATGTTAATGTTTTCTTCATCCTTGGGAAAGTATGTATATCGTTTTATTACATTAATTGTTAATTGTATGTTACTGGGTATTTATTGGCATTTGTAATAAAATAGGCCCTGATGATGGCACTATAAGGTACCGAAAGTTTGGTGAACCCAGCATTTACCTGTCTAATGACCTCTACGAAGATTGGAACCTACATAGATTACCTGCAGGTCGATCAACAAACATATCTTGATTTAGTTCTTTATAAAAAGAATTATTAATACATTACATATTACATCATTTATAATTGTTGATATATTCCTGTAAAACAAAATTGGTTTTTATAATCTTTGATTCAATACTCGGAATAAATACTAAATAACCTAGTTCCTAAATAATCGGAGCAATCTTCTCCAATCTGATCTTAAGGAAAACTCGTGGGACATTCAGGACACAGACAGGTCATTCTTTCCCTTCTTCACCACTGCTGCCTCTTCTAAAGATACTGACAACAGCGAAGTATCTTTTTATATTGTATATCAAAATATTTGTATTAATTGTAAATATCAAATTCCGATGTAACCAAACGGAGTATCATCGATAGATGACAAAATTTCGATACTGTAGAGACTACACATCGAATCTTCAATAAACATTAAGAGAATCATCAAATTTAAGCTGATTTAAGTTGAGTATACGAGTGAGTTAGGGTAAACTACATTTTGAGAAAGATGGAGGGGAGAGGGGAGAGAAAGAGAAAGCGAGAGAGCGAGAGAGCGAGAGAGAGAGAGAGAGAGAGAGAGAGAAGAGAGAAACAGAAAGATATAGAACAAAATAACTGTACGAAAATAAATAAAATAAATATGTCGACTAGTAGATGCAAGAGGAAAAAAAAGTGTAGGAAAAAAGAGATAAGACAAATATATATTCGAGAAAGAGAGAAAGTAAGTGAAAGCAATATAAACAGAATAGAAGAAAAAGAAAGAAAAAAAGAGAAAAAAGAAAGAGAAAGAGAGGGCCAGAGAACAAGAAATATATATATGGAGATAGATACTTTGACAGATATGTCGAGAGAGTGATTGACGTTTTATTTCATCACGCAAAGTTAAGTCCCGTGGACCTTTTTTCCACTTAACGTGAATAGCAACAATTCACAGTNGAGAGAGAGAGAGAGAGAGAGAGAGAGAGAGGAGAAGAGAAGAGAGAAAGATATAGAACAAAATAAATATACGAAAATAAATAAAATAAATACGTCGACTAGAAGATGCAAGAGGAGAAAAAAGTGTAGAAAAAAAGACAGATATATATTCGAGAAAGAGAAAGTAAGTGGAAGCAATATAAAGAGAATAGAAGAAAAAAAAGAGAAAGAGAGGGCGAGAGAACAAGAAATATATACATGAAGATAGATACTTTGACAGATATGTCGAGAGAGTGATTGACGTTTTAGTTCATCACGCAAAGTTAAATCCCGTGGACCTTTTTTCCACTTAACGTGAATAGCAACAAATTACAGTTTTATACATACGTTCTTTTGTTTAGAGAATGCAAAAACCCATAATATAAAACATAATAACTGAGAGAGAGTGAGTGACAGAAAGAGAGAGAGAGAGAGAGAGAGAGAGAGACGAAATAAACATTTAAAAGAAACACATAAGCAGATAGTGAAAGAAAGAGATCAATAATTATATCGAAATAGATAGTTTGATAAATAAAGAGAGAGAGAGAGAGAGAGAGAGAGAGAGAGAGAGAGAGAGAGTGAGAAAGAGGGAATGCTTTATGTATGTAATTAATGCTAAACATATCAAAGATTGTCTCATTTATGGAGGTTTAATTTTGCACTGTATATTATGCTTACATGTGCACAACCTTATGTGCAGAACCAATGATTTCTCGAATGAAATTATATTTCTTTTCTTCTCAGTTAGCATTCTTGTTTACTTGAACTGGACAGTGTTTTTCTAAACTTGTTTTGGACTTTTGATCCAATTTTTATTGTCGAACGTTACGTTCTGGTTAAACAAATAACGACTGTTGTTATAAAGCGTGAAAGCGAAACGTGTCGACAGCCGACTTATCTACCGGACGAAGCGGACATCCAAATCCGAAATAATTTTTTTAACAATATCAAATCTCAAAATCCTGTCTTAAAAATAACTTTTTTATTATTGTGTATTTTTTTATAAGACAATATTTTTAATTGTACCAGAAGTAACATGTACGACTTGTTTAATTATAAACATTTCCACAATAATTTCAATGCTGTTTGAAAATGCGTGCAATAAAATGCAATATGCACCACAGACGTGTGTGTATAAGATATAATTCAAATTTTCCATGTTTTTTAGTGACGTTTATTATTTTGATATTGGGCAATGAATCCTTAATTTTTATATGGAGCAATTTGCCGCATGAATTGCTTTCTCCTGGCCCTTTTAAGTTTCCATACTAAGTCTTTAGATTAACCACTTGTAAACTCTTGCCTTCCCATGTTGAAAATTGAGCCATGTAGGGCCGTGTGCTCTGTTTATTAAAATATAGAACGCTTTATCTCAATTTTTATTATTTTTTAATAAAACGAATGAAACGTATAGTGCAGAAAATCCGGGTCGTTAGGAGCAGCGCGCCCGATGAAGACGGATTGTCCCCGGAGGACGATTTCCCACGGCGAAACAATGAGAATGATCGATCACGGTAATTTGATGAAGCCGGCTGAGGGAAATTAGCTTCCGATTGTTCCTCAGCGAGTTAAGCTAATATGAAGGGATAAATGAAGAACGAAACGACCTGGAATTAATTAAAGAAGTGAGAATAAACGGTTTTTATCAAGTGTAAAGTCGTCAGAGGGTTATTTTTATATTATTTTTAAAACTTTTAGAATAGTACAGATAACAAATGCTTGTGTTGC